CCTGGCACTTCAGGCCTGAACAAAATCCCAGGGCTTGGGAGGTCATAGCTCTAGGAGGAAGCCTACTGTTGTTGTTTTGCTAAATGACCGAATTGTCAAACTGCCTTCTAAATGTTTCTGTGTATACGTATGTATTAGCCCAGCTCTCAGCCTTTCTGCAGCAGGTAATGCAGAGACCTATCAAGGTGGAGAATAAGTGACCTTTGAACGCTTAGCCCTAAGTGAGGTGTCCATATCAACCCACCAAGGCTCAGGGAACTCTGCCAAGGAGGGGACAGAAAGAATGTAAGACCTGGAGGAGGAGAGAGGTCGCTGAGAAACGCTGTCCTCTGGACATGGTCACTTCACCCGTGAACTCCCTGTAGTTATGGTTACTGCACCAGATCTGTACAGGGTCAGGCCAAGTTCAGCCAACATTCCCACAGACAGCTAATCATACATACTAAGTGGGCTATTTGTAAAAGAAAGAAAAGGGGATGGCGAGGATATGAAGAAGGGACATGTCAAAGTGTGTCTGCAGAATTTAGACAGACGCATTGCATATGTGTAGGAAATTGTCAAAGACTAAATACAAGATTCTTTAAAAAGGGAGGGAGGAGAGAGAGAAGCAAGAAGCAAGAGATAGCTCAGCAGGCAAAGGCACCTGCTGCCAAACCTGAGGACCAGTCTTCAATCACCAGGACCAACCAATAAGCATGGTAAAAAACCATTCCCCACAAGTTGTCCTCTGACTTCCACATGAGCTCATGGCGATATACATATGTGATATACACACACATGTGCACTTACACACACACTGTGTGTGTGTGTGTGTGTGTGTGTGTGTGTGTGTGTGTGTGTGTGTGTGTGTGTGTGTGTGTGTGAATAAATAAATGTGTGTGTGTGTGTGTGTGTGTGTGTGTGTGTGTGTGAATAAATAAATGTACATTTAAATTTTAGGGAAAGATCATCTAGGCTAAGGCTTGGAGTGCCCTCTAGTGACAAACTCCCCAAACTGCACCTCTTGGCCTCTGGTCCTCCTGCCTCCAGGATACACCCACACTTCCAGGCCCATCACAGGCTGAATCCCTTCCCATTCTTCTCAAGGCACTGATACGCATCTCTCTCATCCTTCCAACAATGGCTATAAAATGCTTGGTATTAATAGTAGATGTTGGATAAATTTAACTAATAAACTCCAGATTTGGGGCAGGGTAGCATGCTGCCAAGGGGAGCCTCAGCCAGCAAGGACTGACCACAAGAAGAGAGCCTGGATAGGTACAGATGTCAGGACTAAACATAGGTGCAATATCTTCTGTCTGTCCAGCAAGGTTAATTCACACCCAACCTAGTGGTTCCAGTCCAAAGAGCACAAACCTGTGGTCACCCCCAACATAAAGTCCTTCCTCAGTGGCTCCCCAGTGCTCTAACATAGCACAGGAGCCCCTTGCTCTGTCACAGAGGAGAGCCCAGAAAGTGTATTACCCAATGGAAGGGGTGGAATGTTGAGGTATGCTTGCTTTCAAGGTGTGGCATATCTGTTGCACTTTTTTTTTTTCCGGAGACAGGATTTCTCTGTGTAGCCCTGGCCATAGACCAGGCTAGCCTCAAACTTAGAGATCCACCTGCCTCTGCCTCCTGAGGGCTAGGATTAAAGGCATGCGCCACCACTGCCCAGCTCAGTTGCACTCTTAAACACTCAGCATCTGGGACTGTCTGCACAGATTGGACCCATCAACCTTCTATAATGCAGAGCTGGGAGGAGCTTACTAGACACACATACCCCACCAGCAAGGAGCTATAAACAGATAGTTCATGGTTACTAGGAAAGGAGAGATATTATCTTGAGTGGGCTAGCCAATGGTAAGGAAACTCCTGCTGCCATGCTCATCTTCCCTGCCTTCCCCACCACAATGAACAATAAACGAAAACAAACCCTTTCTGCCTTAAGCTGTTCTGTCCATGTGTTTTTATTTGCAACAAGAAAGTAACATGGTGGTTTTGCATAAGAAAAACATGGACATAGGTTCATGTATTTGAGCACTTGGTTCCACTATTGGTGGCCCTGTTTGGAGGCTTATCAAACCTTAGGACATGGAGCCTTAGAGGAGGGATTAAGTCACTGGAGGCAGATCTTGAGACTTTATAGCTTTGCTCCACTTCCAGGCCTCACTCTGTTTCCTGTGTGCAGCAGAAATGTGATCTTTCAACTTCCCGCTGCCAAGCCTTCCTCACCTTGATGGACATCTGGCCTGCTGGAACCAGAGCCTTCCTTGCTTTTGGTCACGGTATCTTATCATAAACACACACACTAGAAACTAAAGCAATAATTAAGACACAGACTGGGCCATTTGCCCAGGCTCTTGACACTGGAGTATCAGAAGGACATGTCTCTAAGAACATAAGAGGACAAGGTTCTAATGTGTGTCCTCACTTCCAATTTCCAGTCCTTTACAGGCTTGTGGGATATAAGTGACAGCCAGGGCATCTATGAACCTCTTAGTTTCATGATCTGGGTAATAGGTGGTAGCAAAGCCTCAGGAACCTGTTGTGAGAGGATGTGTTTCCCGCAGAAATAAACAAGATGCCCTTGGGGGCCAGCTCCACTCCCAGCCTCCTCTTAGGTCTTGCCTCACCTCCTCTGAGCCCTTCCCAGGTCCTCCTTCAGCCTCATTCCCAGGCATCCGGCCAAACTCATCCAGCCATGTGCTCTAGCTTCCTTTCCACCAACTGCTTCCTGTGTGCAGACAAAGAAGGCTCTGTCCCCAGCCACCCACCCAGCAAGCCCAGTACACTCTATACACTAGACTGTAAGTGCCCACCCCTCCCTCACCCACTATGTCACTGTTATTGGACCTAAGACAGTTACTTCCTAGATAAGCCATTTAAAGTAGCCAAATTAAAAGTGAAAAGCAGATGTATTCAATGTGATCACATTGAGAAGACAGACAAAGAGATCCGGTGACCCCTTGATCCCTCCCCAAATCCATCTCTGGGGTTCTCAGGAGGTTAAGATTTAAGTAGAGGCCAGAGCTATTCATGCCTAAGCTGTCTCCAGTCAAGGTGTGGTCCTGCCCACCACTGACCTATTCTGGGGAAATTCCAGTTTTGTAGGGGTCTGTTGTTACCACGGTCCAACAGCCTGAGCCAGGGTTACATGTGTCTCCAATCAGCCACATCACCCTGTCCCATGCCCTGGCCTTGGGCTAAAGCTCACACAAATGGACAGAGTTAAAGATACCTCCACTCTGGGCTTATAGCTGGAAGGCCTGTCCCCAACAGGGGCCTCTGGGGAAGCCCAGGGAATCAAGGGGTGGGGTGTGTAAAAGGGAGGACAGGCTGGGCTCACTGAGAATCACATTAAAAGGATGACAGAGGAGGGTGTGGAGGGGATCTCAGTGGTGCAACATTGTGACAAGTGACAGTGCCATTGTGAGAACAGGAAGAATGTAAAGATATTTGATGTCGAAAGGTGGAATAGTGGTACACATGTGTAACTCCAGCATTTGGGGGAATGAAGCAGGAGGGTTTCGCATTTAGGCCAATCTAAACTGCACAGCAAGATTGGGGGAGAGGGGCAGAGGTTATTTAATGCTTAGGAGACTGAAGCAGGAAGATTGGGAGTTCGAGGCCTGTCTCAAACAAACTCCTACCAGAGACGTAAGAATCTTTAGAGATGGCTCAGGGAATAAAGTGCTTGCTACACAAGGACCTGAGTTCAGATCCCCAGCATGGCATTGTACACATGTGATCCAGAGAGGGGCAGGGGGCAAGACAGGAAAGTATCTGGAGCCTATTAGCCAACCAGCCTAGAAAAAAACAGTGAGATCCAGGTTCACTGAAAGACATTTTCTCAAAAAATAAAGTAGGGGGTTATCAATATTGTTTGGCAGGGAAAGACACCTGCTACCAGCTCTAGCCACCTGGGTCTGATCCCCAGGACCTATATGTTGTGTGTAATCTACACACATATCATGATACATGTGCACCTCATGCACACATAATACAAATAAATAAATAAATACATGCAATTAAAAATGTTAAGTGGAAGGCAATATTTGACCTGTGTTGATTTCTAGAAAACACTCAAGTACCAGAGACCAACCAATTTGTAAAGAACAGAATCTTAAGCCAGGCATGGTGGTACTTTTCTGTCATCTTGGCTCTTGGAAGGTCCAGGCAGAGGACTATGAGTGAAAGGAGAGCTATGGGCTCAGGAACCCCAAGGCCAAGTTCTCAGCACAGATTTATTTACCCCAGAGGGACAGAGGGCAGGGAATAAGAGACAAAGACAGGAGATAGAGGAAAAGGGAAAAGGTGAAGGTAACAAGGGAGAGAGGCAGGAGTGTTTGTGCAGGGATTGTGTATGACAGAGGACTGCCTCTGGTTAGAGCGGAGATAGACATGGCCTATAGGAAAATGGCAATTTATAATGGTACAAGGGGGAAACCTGTGTTAGGTTGAGGTGTTATTTTTAATTGGGCATGCTAATTAGGGTAGCCAAAGGAGGCTTCTGATTGCTGGATTTCAATACAAGAGAATGGGGAGGCGGGGGGAGGCAAGGCCTGCCACAGCCATGTTTGCCTCACTGGAGCTGGCCAGAGACCCTTCAATAAGTTCAAAGCAATTTAGTAGGGAAGCTAATGTTTGGTGACAAAGGACAAAGTGTATGAGCACGTGTCAGATAGAAGATCCAGACATGGTGGTCCATGCCTGCAATCCTGGCATTCACAAGGCTGAAGCAGACAGATCACCTCAAGTTTAAGGCTAGCCTGAGTCACATAGGAAGATCCTGCCTCAAAAAGAAAATTAAACAGACAAAAAAAAAAAAAGTGTGCTCAGGGATGGAGTGTCAAGGTAAGAGCCTGAGGCTATGGTGGGCTTCAGCGGGAGTTAGTACAGACCAGAAGCAATGATAATAAAGGGGAATTCAAGACATGCTTGAATTTCAAGCCCCAGAACCTAAGTTTGATCCTTAGAGTCCCTGTTAAAAATCCGGGCCCAGTGGCGCATTGCTTATCATGCCGTACAGGGAGGAAGACCTGAAAGGTCCTGGGGCTGACCATCCAGCCATGCAGCCCAGCCTAATTGGTCAGCTCTGGTCCAGTGATAGATCCTCTCTCAAAAACAAGATAACTCCTGAGGTTGCCCTCTGGCCTACACACACACACACACACACACACACACACACCTCCCTACATATGGGAACTGCCCGGGTTTGCTTTGTTACTGTGATAAACAGCACAATCAAATCAGCACAGTGGAAACAAGGGGTTTAACTGAAATAAAATTAGATATGATATACTAAAGTCTAAATCAAGTCTGTCAAGTTGAAAGCACTCAACAATGCTTCAAATTGCTTTGTCATTTGAGACCAAGTTTCTCTGTGTAGCCCTGGCTGTCCTGGAACTCACTGTGTAAACCTGGCTAGTCTCAGAGTCTTTCTGCCTCTGTCTCCCAAGGGATTAAAGCTGTGCACCACCACCGGCTAGCATCACTCCAAATTGTTATTTATTTGTTTGTTTACTACATTCTAGAAGTGCTATGATGATGCATGGCCAGCTCATTTAGCTTTGGAAATTACATAGAGAAAGCTAATTTTTTTTGAGGGGGGGAGGAAGACTAAAACAAATTGGGTTTGCTAGCCACATAGAATTTTGCTGGGTAGAGCAACAATTTTAGATCCAAGAAACAGCTTCTGTCAAGACCCCATATTCAGGATTATTGGTGGTGGGTTAGTCCCCAAGTGGTGGTGAAATTGCCAGAAATGTCAATGAGGGAGATGCCTCTCTAGAGTCTCAGGGAAGAAGCTCAGCCACAAGGAGGAGGGGCCTAAAATCCCCAAAGAGGGGTTAGATAGAGTCAGCAGTAGAGCCCTTGCCTAGAATACCCCAATGGGGCTAGGGTGTGTGAGCTCCTGAGTTCAGTCTCCAGCAATTGAGCAGAAATACTGAATTCTACATTTCTCTATGCTAACCTCTTCATTTCGGCTCAAAGGAGGTGGATAGTGTCCTGAGGCCCTCCTCTGGCCTGCACACTCACATAAACAGACGCTAAACCACGGGCTGGCGCACAACTGTGTGGAATTTTTCTTTTCTTCATTTTAGGCGTTTTTCTTAATTAAGTCAGTTGAAGTGTGAAGAGCCACCTTAATCCAGATCTTCTGAGGTGAGAAGAGCCACCGTTAATCTGGACTGTACCTTCTGGATTGTCACTTTACATAGGTGACAGCCTTATGTAAAGGACATTTGGAAGAGGAAGCTTGCACTCTTTGAGTGCTTGCCCTCACTCTTGTGGGCAGGTTCATTTCTTCACTGGTATTAGAGCCTCCTCCTTGGGGATCCTGGCCTTGTACTGAAAACCAGCCGAGACAGGCAGCCTCGGTTCTGAACAACTACCAGATTCTTGGGCTTTCCTTTGAACTTAGATGGCCATTGTTGAACTAGCTGGACCACAGCCTGTAAGTCACTCTAATAAATTGTATGTATGTATGTATGTATGTATGTATGTATATTTTATCAGATTTGTTCCTCTAGGGAACCCTGACTAATACACAGGTGAATTTCCAATGCCATACTTAGAATTCTCCTTGCCCCAGGGATAAAGTGACCGGCACATGGGAGACCTCCCAGTCTTGGGACATCCCGGTACCTACTGCCTTCTGATCACCCCGCACACCCAGGAACCACCTTGGGGCCACCTCAACTCCATTGCCACTAGTCAATATGCCCCCTAGGAGGCCCGCAGTTCCAGGAACCCCTTGCACCTCTGGAGTTGCAGACCAGCTTCAGGCCTTCCCCCAGCCTCAGCCTCTCTCATTTCTCCCCGCCCAGGCTCAGAGGTGCAACCGCACCCTCCCCCAGACTCCTCCCGCCCTCACTTCGGAGCTGAGCACGCAGCGGCTCAACCCTCCCAGGCTTTCGCCTTACTGCTCCAGGGAGCCCCTGGCTTGCGCATCTTGTCAGCTGCCTCTTTCAGCAGCCCCAGCAGGTAGGGAAAGGCTGGCCTGTGAACCAGCGACCGCTGGGAACGCAGAAGAAGGGAGGTCCAGAAGTAGCGGGGAGGGAGCTCGGTTGGCCGCCACCGAGTGGGGGATTCCTTTGTCTGCAGCCGGGCAGCCCCTGGCCCAGCCCCCTTCCCCTCTCCACTCTCCACTGGGCGCGCTCTTGTGAGGTGCCGGGAAACCCCGTACTCCGCAGGAGAACCTGGGCTTCCAGTTTCTGATCCTCAAGTGAGGGCGGAGACGAGCACCACCCAGAGGGACCAAGGTGGTTCTGTAGCTTGACACTAGTGGATGGAGGTCGCTGCCCGAGCACTCTCAGGGGTGCCTCCTTCTGGGACCCCTTGTTCTCACCGAGGCAGCAGAGGAAGCGGCAGGGAGGGGCGGGGGGCGCATTTTCCCATTTAAGTTCTGCTTGCCTTTGAGACAACTTAACTCATTCAACTAATTTTGGGGACCTAGCTTTATTTAGGAGCTTGGAGTGTGGGAAGGTCCAATGAGTTTCGAGTCTCTCTCTCTCTCTCTCTCTCTCTCTCTCTCTCTCTCTCTCTCCACACACACACACACACACACACACACACACACACACACACACATACGGATGTTAGTGAGAGCTGAAACTGCCAGGAGCAAAGACTGGCCAGGTTGATTAGACCCCCTGGAAACAAGACAAATGCCCCTGTCACCTTCCCCTGTCACGGCTGGCCTCTAAGTTTCTCAACCTGTGGGTCGCGACCCCTTGGGCAAACCAGCTCCAAAAACTTTACGTTATGATTCACAACAGTAGCAAAATTACGGTTATGAAGTAGTGGCGAAAATAATCCTATGGATGGGATCACCACAACACGAAGAACTGTATTAAAGGGTTAATACAGTTAATACATTAGGAAGGTTGAGAACCACCGGTCTAAGTTAACAAAAGCTTAGGAATACCTGGTCAGACTCTCACTTCACCTCAAGGCCCCCAGTTTTCACTCTGCAAACTGTTTTTGAGACAGGGTCTTACTATGTAGCCCGGAGGGCCCTCAAGTCACTATCTTCTTGCCTCTACTTTCCCACTGGATAACAACACATGCATGCACCAGCACACCAAGTTTAGGGGGATTAACCCAGGCTTTCATGCATGCTGGGGGAGCACTCTGCCAACTGCGTTCCATTCCCAGTCTCCATCCAAATGTTTTACAAAAGAAATATCACACACTACTTTTACTACATTTTAGAAATGAATTTAGTTTGTGGGCAGGAGGTGGGGGGGGCAGGAAGAAGCACGCTGTGGAGATCAGAGAACAACTTGTGGGAGTTGGCTCTCCCTCCACCATGAGGGTCCATGTGGAGCAACTTAAGTCCTCAAGTGCCTCTACTGGGCTGAGCCTTCTCGCCAGCCCAGTCTACCCTTCCGTGGGATTGCCTCAACCTGGAGTGCTCCAAACCTTATCTTCGCAAACTCACTCTTCCTGGCCAAGGAAAAGGCCAACCATTCTGGAAAGGGTGTGGGCAGCTGGACCTTGCATCTTCTCACTAACCATGTGATGCAGTCTTGCTTTGTCCACAGGTGAGCTAGACGAAAATGTCAGGATGCCCAGCTGCCTCAGACTTACCCACTTCTTTAAGTGTGGAATGTGTGGCTGTGTATGCATGTGTGGGTGCACACGTGTACATATACATGTGAAGGCCAGAGGTCAGTCTCAGGTACTGTTCCTCAAGCACCATCCACTTTGATTCTTGAGACAGGGTTTCTCACTGACCTGAAACTCACCAAGTAGGCTAAACTGGCTAGCCAGTGAGCCAAGGTTCTGCCTGTCTCCTCCTCCCCGGTTCTGGGATAAAAATGCTGCAGTGAGTGGCCCAGAGGTTAAGAGTACTTGATCTTTCAGAGGGCCTGGGTTTGAGTCCCAGCACCCATTTGGGGGCTCACAACCAACTACACTCCAGTTTGCGGGAATCGAATGCCCTCTTCTGGCCCCCTTGGGCACCAGACACTTGCATAGTGCACAGGCATATATGAAGGCAAAAATAACCATACACAGAAAAAATTACCTTTAAACAGAGCATGAACCACCATGCTTGGTCATTTTACATGGGTTCTGGGAGGTAAATTCACATCGCCATGTTGCAAGGCAAGCCCAAGCCATATCCCCAGCCTTAAACCACCTCTTCTCTCAACCCTCCCAGCCAGAATTCTGGGGTCTCCTCAGTCTTCCTCCCCCCACTGGAACCCCCACCTACTCTTGTTGATTTTTGATTTCTATGTTATTTCTTGTTATCAACCCCATCATCTGGTCCTTCCAATCTCCCCACCCAGCTTTTTCTGGGGACCCCACATCCCTTCCTCACTTCGTCTTTGTATCTCACCAAAAACATTTCAAGAGTTCTTCATTGCCCTCAATGCACAGCCATGGACCCACCTGTCCCTTTCTCCCACACTGCACCCTTTTTTGCCACAAACTCTCTGCCAGGAATCATTATCTATAGTGGCTTCACCTGTGAGATGTCATATCCTTGGACTAGAAGATAGCTCTGTCAGTGAAATGTTTGCTTGTAAGCCTGAAGGCTTGTGTCCAGTTGCCTAGGACCCATTTAAAAATGATAGTACTGAGCATATGGAGATGAAGGACCCTGGGGCTCATTCACCAACCAGTCCAGCCTACTTGGTGAGTCCCAGCCCAGCAAGAAGCCCTGTCCACAGAGAATGACAGTAGAGGTTGCCTTGTGGCCTCCACATTGCAAATGCACATGCATAGACACACATAGCAAACACACTAAATAAAAATCATATTCTTCCAAGAAGCCTGCCCCAGTTGTTCATCTGCTTTCTCAAGCCAGAACTTGTGTCTTCCCAGGCAGGCTCCCCACTGCTATGCATTCTATGGCATGTCCCCTTGCCATGCAGTTCACGTGGGGCTGACTCTGCTTGTTCCTTGCAGCCTCCAAAGACACAGCATGACTCTGGAAGGCCTCTTTTGGGCAAGGAGAGACTCTGGAGCCTTCCTTACAGCCTGGGGCCCTCCAGCTCGGATTCTGCTGACCTGGGTGGTTCTATCATGCATGGAAAATGGCCAAGGCCACTGGGATGGGACTCTGGAATCTGCAAGCCCAGGTCATGTGAGAAGACAAGGCAGGCGTGTCATCATTTTGCAGGGGTGTGTGGTACTTGGGATGCTGAAAGATACCTTGGGTGTGGGCAGGGAAGGGCTATCCTGGGAGTGAGGGGACAAATAGCTACATCACCCACTTTCTCCCAAAGGCCCAATGTATGTGGTTCCCGCTTTCATGCCTACTGTTGCCCTGGCTGGAGGACTCTGCCTGGCAGGAACCAGTGTATTGTGCGTGAGTGTTGAAGCATGGAGATGGAGGGTTCAGGCAGGGGATATTTGGGGGTCCTCCCTGCCACCTGTCAGTAATCCCAGCCTTTTCTACATAAGGAGATGGAATTCAGGTTGGGGCTGCTGGGTGAGCCCCGCTAATGTCCCATACTTTTGTCCTTAGACTCCAGGGTGACTTGCTGCATTCATTTGTCTATTTTTTAAGTGTATTTCATTTATTTTGTTTGGTGGGTGAAGCATGCCATGGTGTGCATGAGGGCAACTTGCAGTCGTCTGTTCTCACCTTCCCCGCCATGTAGGTCTTGGGGATGAAAAAGTCACCGGGCTTGAAAGCAAGTGCCCTTACCCTCTGAACCATCTTACCCACCCTGCATTCATTTCTTTTGCCCTCCTGTCTTGCCGTTTCTGCCTGGCTCTCCTGCCTTCTTGTCTGGCTCCATGTTTCTTCAGGCCTCTCATACTGTCTTTATGTCAATCTCACGCCCTCTTCCCTAACTCCAGCTTCCCTGTCTCCAGACTCAGAATCTATTGTCAGAGTCCTCACCACTCCACCCTCGGTGCCCTGAAGTTTAGCCCTTCGCACCCACATCATCTCTCATGATGGTTTAGCAAAATCCTAGAGCTGAAGGTCACAGCGCCTGCTCAGCCTACATAGAGACTTGGGTGGGGGGGAGGCTGTCCCATGCATTCAGGGTATGAGGAGAACTGGAGCTGGGGAGACCAGCTGATCCACCTTGAGGCTTCCAGCAGCCTTGGCATCTTTGGAGTGAGAGTGACATAGAACTTCTGTCCCTCCCCCTTTCCCTCCCTTCAGCCTTCCTCCTCCATTCCTGCTCCCTTTCCTCCCAAGTGCTGGGTTGATATATGTACACTACCACATTCTGTTGTGTAGTAGTCAGCTGGTTGGTTAGTTAGTTAGTTATTACACTGTGTGTGCATGTTGAGTGTATGGAGGCACACATGCCATGACACACGTGTGAGTGTCAGAGGACAATTATGTGAAGTCAGTTCTCTTCTTCCACCTTTACATGAGTTCTGAGGAAGTGAGTTCGGGTCACCGGGCTTGGCTATCAAGTGTCTCTACCCAGTGAGTCGTCTCTAAGACCCTGGGTCCTGATTTTGATGCTATACACTCTGCCTTTCCAGCTGTCTGCAGGCACACCTGTGGCAGTGGCTTCTGCTCCCAGCCCAACCTGTGTGCCTGCATGGATGGGACCCTGGCCCCCAGCTGCGGAGTAAGTAGAGGTGAGTGGCCAGTGGCCTCTTGCAGGAGGAAGAGAAGACTCTAGGCACCTGAATGCCACTAGGATCCCAGGTTGGTCTCATTGAAGGACAAGAACCAAGCCCTGGTCAAGCCTTCCTGGAACATCTTCACCTTTCTGTGTTTTCCTGATCCATAGCATCATTGGGGTGCAGCATGAGCTGCATGAATGGGGGCAGCTGCCAAGGGGAATCCTGTTTATGCCCAAAAGGCTACACGGGCACTGTGTGTGGACAACGTGAGTATCCCATTTGCTGCCCTCACTTACTTATGGAATCTCAGAGAATGAGTCTCCTCATCACTTGCCCACTGTCCATAAGTCCTTCATCTAAGACCAAAGATCAAAGGTGACAGGCTCGTTGTTACAGCTGCACTAGTATGTGTGTGGGGGGTGCAGATATGCATATATGTGTGCTAGCGTGTGTGTGTGTGTGTGTGTGTGTGTGTGTGTGTGTGTGTGTGTGTGCATGTGGAGGCCAGAGATCAATGTTAGGTATCTCCATCAATTGTTCTCCACCTCCACCTTAGTTTTTGAGACAGTCTCTTATTAAACTTGGAGCTCACCTATTCAGCTAGGCTACCTGGCTAGAGAACTTTCAGAGAGCCATCTCCTCTGGCTCCCCAGCAATGGAATTACAGAGCATCATCACTTGCAGCTTTTGCATGAGTGCTGAGAAGCTGAGCTCAGATTCTCATGTTTACACAGCAAGCACTTTACTGACTAAGCCATCCCTCATTAGTCAGTTTTACTCACCCTGGTCCAGATGGTGGGCATCCCTAGAAAAAGAAAAGCTCACTTAGGTTCCAGCCCCTCTCTTCTAGGAAACCTTCAGTCATCCTTCCCTATCTGTTCATAGCCATTTGTGTCCACGGCTGCCGTAATGGAGGACGCTGCATCGGGCCAAACCTCTGTGCGTGTGTTTATGGATTCGTGGGACCTCAGTGTGAGAGAGGTACTGAGAAGAACTTGGGGAGGAAGTGGGCAGTGAACACGACATGGCAGGGTTCCAAGTGCAGATATATGTCTGCTTTGCTCCTCCAGGGCAGTCTGAAGACCATGGCTTTCCTTTGAGTGTTCCACTCTGCATAGCTGCTATTGCTCATTGGCCTGCTTCGAAAGAGTTTGTGTTGGGTGGGGGCGGGGGAATGGAGAGATGCCCCAGCAGTTAAGAGCTCTGGCTGATCTTCCAGAGGACCTGGATTCAATTCCCACACCCACATGACAGCTCACAGCTGTCTGTTACTCCAGTTCCAGGGAATCCGACATGATCACACAGGCATATATCCAAGCAAAGCAACAATGCACACGAAACAGTTTTCTTTTTTAATTAAATTAGCTACTTTGCTTAGAAAAAAAGTTAGTGTTGATCTGGGAATAGGAAGAAGAAACACTAACCCTGGGATTAATTGTCAGAGGTCATGAGCTGTGGGGATCAAGGGGGCTTCCTGGGAAATGAGAACTCCCAGCTGAATCTTGAAAAGGTTTTACTTTTAAAATGTTATTGCATTTATTCATTGATGTGTATGCTTATGCTACAGTGCACGTAGAGGTCAAAGGGCAACTGGCTGGAGTCAGTTCTGTCCTTCCACTATGCAGGGTTTGGGGATCAAACTCATGTCATTGGGCTTGGTGGTAGTGCCTTTACTCCCTGAGCCATCTCCCAAGCCATAATTTTAACTTCTTAAGACAGGTCACACTGAGTTACCCAGGTATGCTTTGGTTTTACTGTTCGGTCCAGGTCTGCTTGAAGCTCAGTCTTGATCCTCCTGCTCAGCCTCATGAATACCTAGATCACAGGCATGCACCACCTTGCCCACCTGAACACAGCCAGGGCTCTGAAAGTGATCCCTGGGAGATGTACAAGCCTCTTTATTGAAGCCTTTTTCTACCCTGACCCCAACTCTCTGTCTCCGTCACTAGGGATTCAACTCAGGTCTTGTTTGACAATCTACAACTGCCCCTCACTGGGGGATTCTAGGCAGGGACTGTACCCTTGAGCCACTCCCCAGCCCCTCACTGAAGAATTGTAGGTCTGTGCTTAACAGTTAGCCATGCCCTCAGACCTCTTTTTGCTTAATTTTTAAAAATTATACATACTTATTTGGAAGATGGTGAAGAAAAATGAGAAACAAATGCTGTGGCAAAGTGTGCAGGTGAGATGTCCACTTGCGGGAGTTGGTTCTCGCCTTCCACCATGTGGGTCTGAGGGATCAAACTCTGTGGTCAGACTTGGCGGCACGCACCTTCTCTAGCTGAACCATCTCACCAGGCTCCCCTTTTACCTTTCATTTTTAAGACGGTTTATTTTACTATTCTAAAATTGTGTATAGGGGAGAGTATTGCACATGATTGCAGGTGTCCATAGAGACCAGAAGAGGGCATCAGATCCCCCAGAGCCGGAGTTACATCCCGATGGTTGTGAGCTGCTTCATAGGAGTGCTGGGAACTGAAGCAAGAACAGTAGACGCTCTTAATTGCTGAGCATCTCTCCAGCCCCATAAGGAAATCCATCCTCCCTCCCTCTCTCCCTCCACCCCTCCTCCCCTCCTTCCTTCTGTTCTCCTCACTATGCAGCCCTGACTGGCCTAGAAATGTTTATGTAGACCAAGCTGGCCTTGAATTCACAGAGATGCACTTTCCTCTGCCCCCTTAGTGCTCTGTCTACTGGTATGTACCACCATTCCAGGTTCTTTTTAACTCTTGAGGAAGGGTTTTCCTGTGTATCCTAAACCAGTCTTGACTTTGTAATCCTTTCACATTAGCCTCTGGAACAAAACAAGACAAGATTACAGTCATGCACCACCACACCCAGTTAAGCCTAGCTCTTAAAATTGTCCGTCAGTAGATGTGAGTGGGATTGTGTAAACTAAACCATCTAAAAATGGCTGGGTGTGGGGTTGAGAGAAGAGGGATAGAGCTGAGAATTGAGCCCAGATCAATCTTGAGGTTGAGGTAAAGATAGTGTATTAAGGGCAGGGCAAGAGAAACCTTAATCTCAGTTCTACCCAGGGACCTGCAAGAACCCGAGAAGTCACTGAAGCTGCCATGTCCATGAGGACTGAGTGCTTGGAGCATCTGAGGGAGAAAATAGAGGGCAAGGAGAGAGGAGGGCCTGGTATCTCAGGATAGACAAGAAGCATGGTGTCTAAAGTGTGTAAAGGACCTCTGACAGGAGGACAAGGTGTGGACATGATTCTCATACACGGAAGTTACCAGAGTGACTTATGTATTTGAGGAGCCTAAAGGTGATGGACATCAGGGGCCCTGAGACTGACGGCTATTGTGGGAAGTGGCAGCAAGGGATAAGCTACTTTTGCAGCTTGAGCTACATAGTTTTACTCTGTCTCTAAAAGTAAGAAAGAGGTCTGAGGAGTGACTCACTGGTGAACACTGGCCTACAATCTCCCAGAGAGGAACTACAGGTGAGGCTCAGCCCTAGGGCATCCACCTAGAATACCCCCAGTGAGGGGCTGGGGTTACTGATGGTGGCAAGGGTCAGTTTCTAGGTTGAAGAGAGGCTTGTCATGAATTGGAGGCTTGTGGGGGGCTGCAGGATATACCTGGGTTTTAGAATGGTGTGTTTGGAAACACTTCAACCAAAAGAGGGGGGAATGGAATATGGACGGTCATCAATGAGGGGAGTGCAGGTGAGTGTGGAAGTGGAAGGCAGAAGAGGGCCCAGGGTGGTGGGCATCAGAGGCCCAGGAGGGCTGGTTACCAAGCTACCTCTGAAGCCCTCCTTCATAAGAGGCCTGGAATGGAGAGTGGTTATCTTATTCTGGGAGGGACTGCCCTTGGTGTTATGCCAGCCCTATTATTGGAAACATCTGAAGGGTGGAGACAAGAAACCACAAATGGGCCCTGTGCACTGTGCTTGGGAAAACTGGTGCAGCTCCCTTTTGCTAAGCCTGAGGGTGCAGGGTCATGATGTTACAAGGGTAGGGCCAGGTGTGCACTCACACATGAGACAGGCTCTCCCCCCAGGCATCCACGGTCTCTACTTGAAGGAAGGGTGAGAGAGACCAAGTCCGAGAAGGTTTGCAGATTCTCTTTTGGAGGTTATTTGTGTGAAGGTACTAAATGTTTTGATGGATGAATAGGTGTTTGCTAGGTAGGAATGGCATCCTCTCAGGAAAGGAACTAGAAAAGGTTCATAGGGAAAAAAGATGAGGTATGTTGGTCTAGCGGCCTGGGCACACATGTAGAGGACAGTGGAGCAGAGAGAGCTCAAAGCCAGATGCTTGTATCTGCCTGATCCACAGACTACCAGATGGGTCCCTGCTCCCCCCAAGTGAGTCCTGAGGGGTGCCAGCGCCAGCTGACAGGTCTCATGTGCCCTAAAGCTCTCTGCTGTGCCACTGTGGGCCATGCCTGGGGACTTCCCTGCCAGCTCTGTCCTGCAAAGCCACACCCCTGCCGCCGAGGCTTTATCCCAAATGTTCACACAGGAGCCTGCCAAGGTGAGTTGTGTGGTAAGCAAGGGAGAAGGGAGCCAGCTGAATAGAGATTCCCCCCAAAACACACACACACACACACACACACACACACACACACACACACACACACCACACCACACACACACACACATACCACACCATATATACTACACACACACACACACACACACCACATACACCACACACCTACACACACACATCACATACACTACACCACACTACACATACACTCACACACACACTCACACTCACACACACCACATATACCACATATCACACCACACCATATATACTACACACACACACACACACACACACACACACACACACACAGTTCTTCCCTCTGACTCCCTTTGTGGACTTATCCTGCAGATGTGGATGAGTGCCAAGTCATCTCGGGCCTGTGCCAGGGTGGCAGCTGTCTGAATACAGTGGGTTCCTTTGAGTGCCACTGTCCCCCTGGACACCAGCTCAGGATCAGAGGCACCAAATGTGAAGGTGGCGTATGTGTGTGTCATGGTGGCTCCCTGCAGAGGGGGAGGGGGTTGGGCGGGTGAGGAGCCTGGCTCTGACCCCATCTGTCTGTGTAGATCTAGATGAGTGCCTTAGTGTTCCAGGGCTCTGCTCCAGGGCTGACTGCACAAACACAGTTGGGAGCTATGTGTGCACCTGTCGTGGAAGCTTTGTCAGCAGCCTGGATGGAGCCCACTGCCTGGGTGAGATGGGCCAAGAGCCGAAGAGGGACACAGTGGTCAAAGTACCTCTGTCTCACCCCAAGACCATCTCTCTGGTCACTGATATCAATGACCCTTGTTCCCTACCATCTAGCATTTGTCTTCCCAGCATCTATGCTCTCTCAGACTCTGGTCTGGGGGTCCTTTTGACCCTCTTTTTCTATGTCCTTTAGCACAGCATTCTGCTGTTCCCCTGTCTTCCTACACACAGACATGCTCCCACCATGCCTGTCTCTGGTTCTATGCCCTTTTGGATAGTCTTTACCCTACTACCACACTCTATCTTTAACTTCAGTTCCCATCACACTTTCCCCACCCTGTAGCTTCATCTCTGTATCTTCCCAAAGCCTCCAACTCTATGCCCCCCAATTCCCCTCCTGTAGCCGTCTTTTTGCCAACCTTTAATCCTCCTTCCTTGACCTTCATGTCTTCCTTCCTTCTAGCCTTCATGTCTGTGCCCCTGGCTTCCATCTGTCTCTTCTCTGACCCTCTAGCTTTCAACTTGTGCCCCCAATGACCTCAAAGGGCTGGAGAGGGTATGATGGGCAAAATGTCTCCCCTCCCAGCTTTCAACTTAGACCCCTCCTGACCCTTGAGACTTTACCTGTGTTATTTCCCTTCATTCGTGTCTATGTACTTCTGCCCATCAGCTCCTCTGTGCCCTGATTACTTAAGAACTTTTCTCAGTATCCCTTCTTTTTTTGAAAAGGAGAAACTGAGGCCCAGAGAGGCAAGGCTGGCTTGGGTAGACTCAACAAGTCCAGAACAGAGAGACACCTACGTCCAGTTGCCCAGACCAACAAGAGGACTGGGAGTGCCCCATGTATGGATCTCCTATGCAGTCCCCTACACTTCAGCCAGTCAGGAGTGGTTCTGCCCCATACACAGTTGTCATGAGCTTCCCAATCTAGTTAATTTCCAGGGCCCACAGACTGCCTAGGAATATGGGTGGAGATGGGAGTGGAGAATGGACAGAGTACTATTTGCAGGAAAGAGAAGGAGGTGTGACCCATTCCCAGCATCACCTCAAGCCACTCAGGCTAGGCCTGTATGAGACAGGACTGAGAATATTGTGTTTGGGATTTGTCCAGTCCCCCACCTCCAGGGTACTTCATAGCCAGCGTAATAGGAGGACTGCAGCCTGTGGACCTCAACGTGTCCTCTGGATTTCAAAGGACTGACCCATACAGAATCCAATTGTTTCCAAACATGGGCATTGATTTGGTCCTGGGTGTGTTTGGTTGTTTGGCTAGTTGGTTGGTGTGTGTGTGAGTGTGTGTGTGTGTGTGTGTGTGTGTGTGTGTGTGTGTGCTTCCCTGCATATATGTCTGCATATCGTATGCATGTCTGATACCTGAGGAGGCCAGAGAGGCCATTAGATCCCTTGGAACTGGAGTTACAGACAGTTGTGAACACCAGGTGGGTGCTGGTATCTAAACCTAGGTCCTCTGCTGAGCCATCTCTAGCCCCTCAGTCTCAAGTTTGATTTCTAGCTGAGCTGTTCCCGGACTATGAAATTTTACTCAACTGACTTTTTTTAAAAAAAAAAAACTCATTGTGCCTCAGTTTCCCCATCTATAAAATGAAGATAGTAGCCATGCCAGTCTTGAATGATTGTAATGAGGATAGCCGGCGATGGGGCTGGGGATATGGCTCAGCTGATAGAATGTGTATGTAGCTTGCACAAAGCCGTGGGTTCCCCTCTCAGCTCTGTGTACAGAAGTCATAGTGGTGCACACCTGTCATTCTAGCACTTGGGAGATGGACACAAGAGATGGAATCAGAAGTTCAAGGTTACCCTTGGCTATAGAATGAGTGTAAGACCACTCTGGAGAGGTGGGGAAAGGGAGAGAGGGAGAAAGAGAGAGAATAATCATAGTGAGATGTAGTGAGATAAAAGCTGAGGTGATTTTAGATGACCTGTACACAGGTGTACTCAATAAATATATTGGATATAAGGAGGACCCTGGGGAGGTTGAGGCAGGAGCACATATCAGGGCTTGGCCATGGAGGGTGTCTAAATCATTGGCAGCTGTAGTTAACATTAAAATTCCCAATCGTTGGTCTCTTTCTTCCCTATTGGAGAGACAGCTGCTTGTCAGATCCCATGTGGTTACAGAATCTGGTTCCCCATGTTCAACAAGTTCCAACATCTGGGTGACCTTGAACCAGAGTGTTGACCTCTTCCCGTCTGAACAGATCTCTTCTGAATAGCTGTCATGTTGCCAAATGAAGATATCACACACACACACACACACACACACACACACACGCACGCACGCACGCACGCACGCACGCACGCACGCACGCACGCACGCACGCACACCTACCTACCTACCTACCTACCTACCTACCTACCTACCTGGAAGGCCCCCAGGTGCACAGGAGGTGGAAAATTGGCATGACTTTGAAGCATTGTACAGGACAGGAGCAGCTACCAGCAGCCTTCTCTGCTGGTGGGAGGAGTTTCTCAACCAAAGGACACCAGCTAATAGTTTCAGTAATTTAACCCAAAAATAACCCATGCAAAGCCATGCACCCAAGAGTGTGGTGAGAGGCAGAGGAGGGTCTGTGGTTCTCATGCCAAGGTAACTTCGGGATCCGTTTATTCAGAGGGTAGTGGCTACTAGAGCATCCCCTTATCCCTGTGAAATGCTTCTCCCTGCTTCTCTGTGATAGCCAAGGCCAGCAAGCAAGAACTTATGGACATGTTCTCCACATCCCTGCTTGAGTTCGCAACAGGTACTCTCCTCTAAGAAGAGGTCTTCCTTATGGTGCTTGAATACTCGAGTAGGGAGAGTTTACTGCCGAAGGTAACTTGAGATATTGGGGGCTGTGAAGGCCAAATTCATCTTCTGTAATGATGTAGAAAGTTTTAAAATAGGAGGCAATGAGCAGGGTTTACCCACATGCTAAAGTGTGTGTGTGTGTGTGTGTGTGTGTGTGTGTGTGTGTGTATGTGTATGTGTACCAGAGGAGGCCAGAGGCTAGCCTCAGGTGTTGCTCTTCAGGCACTGCCCTTCTCATTTTTTTAATGTTTTTTCTGAGATTCCATAGTGTAATTGTTGTCACATCTGCTTTACAGAAGGTCCTGAGTTTGAGCCCCAGTGGAACCATGATTTATATTTTATTATTTATATTTTGTTATTTATGTGTACGTATCTGTGTGAGCATGTGCCATCTATGTGCAGGTGCCTGCAGAGTCCAGAAGAGGGCATTGAGTCCCCTAAAGCTGAAATTACAAGCGGTTGTTAGCCACCCAGCGTGAGTGCTGGGAACTGAACTCAGTTTCTCTGGAGAAGAAACAAGCCTCTTAACCACTGACAGCACCCCTTACTTTGACTGCCCTTTTTCAAAGCAGGATCTCTCTAGCCTGGAACTCACCAAGATAGCTAAGTTGAGTGGCCAGTGAGCCTTAGGGATCTGCCTCTCTCCACCCCCTCAGTACTGGGATTGAAACTGCATGCCATCACACCCAGACTCTCTGCTTTTCATGTGGGTCTGAGGAGCAAACTCAGATCTTGTGCTTTCCATCTCTCCAGCTCAGTGCCTGAGTTTTCTTTGAAGCAACGTTTTTCTGAGACACTGTTGGTGCTTGGAGCACCCTCGTTTATAGATGAGAAAACAAAGCTATGACAGGCGAGGTACCACTGGGATTTGGACCCATTTGTGCCTAGTCTGTGTCAACCAGCCCCACTCTGTATCCTGTTGCAGATCACCAGGTGGGCACCTGCTTCTCCGTGCTTATCAGGGGTCAGTGTGCTGCAAACCTCTCTGGCCACTACACTCACAGACAGTGCTGCTGTGACAGGGGCAGGTGCTGGGCAGCTGGTTCATCACCAAAGCCGTGTCCTCCACGGGGTTCTGGTGAGTGATAGTTTGACCTTATATGTAGAGAGATCGTGGTTGGGATCAATGGCCTGGCTTCAAAGTCTGTTCTATTATTTATTATTGTGATTGTTGTTGTCATAGTTACTATTTTTTTATTATTGTGTGATGGAAGCATCATACGTTCACATGCATGTGGAAGCTGATTCTCTCCCTCTACCTTTATTCAAGTCTTCGTGGTTACAAGGCAAGCACCTTAGGTCACTGGCCTTCAAACTCTGTTCTTTGCAGGTGAATTCCTGAGACTGTGTACCCAAGGGCTCCCACTGCTGCCTGTCTCTGCAGACCTCTTCCCTGGACTCTCAGAAATTGGAAACCACAATCTGGGACCTGCCCTAGGGCCAGCACAACACAACTCCCATGATTCCAATGGGCGTAGAGTCCCAACACTGAGCTCTGGAAACTCCAACAGAGGTGAGCCCTAATGGGGTAGGGGGGTTCAAATCCTAGAGCTTGGCTTGAGTCTGAGGAAGCAACCCTGAAGAAGGTAAAGAGGCTTCTCTTTCATGGAGTTTGGGCTTTGGCTAAGGAGTCCTAGGATGAAACTATAGTTGGTCTATAGTCTAAACTAACCTTAGCAAATATTTAAGAAGAAAACATCTGCATTAAATATACCGATTCTTTTCATTGTTTTATAAGCAACATATAGGAACTATTTGCATGAGCTGGCTCTTCCAGAGATCCCAACTAGGGGCCTACAACTGCCTGTAACTCCAGCTCCAGAGAATCCAATGCCCTCTTCTGGCCTCTGAGGGAACTGTACATATGTGTGCATACACATGTGGGCATAAAAAGTAAAATCCTGCACATATGTGAACACACCCAACCACACACATACACACTTCACACATAAACTCCCTGTGCCTGTCTGTCTGTCTGTCTGTCTGTCTGTCTGTCTGTCTGTCTCTGTCTCTCTCTTTCTCAAGCATACATACACCAAGAAAATATTAGCATAGCATTATAGTATATCAGGATGTTTAGGTTATCTATTACTACTTGAAGTCCACATGAAGGACCAGGGAAATGTGGCTCCAGTAGAGTGCTTTCCTAACACGTATGAACCACAAATTTCTTCTCCTGCACAATACACTGCATAAAACAGTCATAGGGTGCATATTTGTAAAACAAGTACTAGGATTTGGAGTTCAAAATCATCCTCGGCTGCATAGTTAGTACAAAGCCAGCCTCAGCTTTGTGAGATGCTTTCTCAAAACAAAAAATAAATAAGGACCATAAAGAGGGCTCAGTTGGTAGAGTGTTTGCTGTGCAATGATGAGGTCCTGAGTTCAGTCCCCTGGACCCACACTTAAAAATCCAGATGTAGAGACATGAATTCCAGTACTGGGGAAGTAGAGATAAGAGGATCCCTGAGGCTCACTAGCTAGCCAGCCTAATCGGTAAGCCCTAGGTCCAGTGACAGACCCTGCCTCAAAAAAATAAGATGGGAGACTGGAGAGATGGCTCAGTAGGTAAAGAACTTTGTGTACAAGAGTGAAGGCTTGAGTTCAGATTCCCAGGACCTACATAAACTGAACACAATAGCATACATCTATAATCCCAGTGAGTGCTACTGCCGTAATATGGGAGAGATAGGAAAGTTTCCCTCCAGAAGCTCAGGACAATCAGCCTGACATAAGCAGAGGCAATGAGACACTGACTCTAAAAAAATGGAAGGGGTGACTGACATGACATCCACGCGTGCACTCCATCTTATTTTTTGTTGTTGTTGTTGTCGTTGTCTGTTGTGTTTACTTGTGATACAGCAATGGCTCAAAAGTAAAATTCTAAGCATTGAATTCTCTAATAATTTTTTATTTATTTTATTTTTTCCATTCATTTATTTAGCTCATAAATAAAGTCATGCACAATTATGATACACAATACAGTATGTTCAAAATGGCATGGCTAAATTAAACCAATTAACATGTTATATCAAACATATTCATCATTTTTGTTTTGAAAACACTTAAAGTATACTATCTCACAACTTTTAAAATATAGCATATTGTTATCAACCATATTTATCATGCTCTCAGTAGACCTCAAGACATCACAGATTCCATGCCTCTTGTCCAACTGCAGTTTTATATCCTTAAACCAATCGTTTCCCCATTGTTAAAAGACCCACATTGAAGCCTAATAGCCACAATTCTGCTCTCTGCTCCCATAAGTTCATCATTTCTAGGTTACACATAAAATTGAAATTGTGTGACATTTGTCTTCCAGTGTGTCACTTATTATTATTTTTTTTTTGGCAAGCATATAACTTTACTACTTACTAAAGATGAAATCAAATTTGCATGCACTCACACTCCATTAAAACAAAACAAAACAAAAACAAAAACAAAAACAAAAACAAACAACAAAAAAAAGTAAAAAACAAAATCCCAGAAAACAGCACAGTTCTGTTACTCTTGTGGTACTTGGCGCCATTTTTTTTTAATTAGCTTCTCAATCATCTCTGGGATGAAACCATTCTGAGCAACATCATTAAAAACATTTCTGATAAAGCATGGTGACTACTATGTATCATTAAGTAGGTCCACATATGAGTGAGTACATATCATGTTTGTCTTTTTGTGATTGGGTTACCTCGCT